AACGTTCCAAAACAAACCACTCTGGGGTGGATCTGCTGAATGGTCTCCCTCATTCACTCCAAGCCTGAAGCTCCTTTTGGGACCAGGACTGTGGCTGGCTCAGGTCTTGGTCGCCCTGGGAGGGGGGCTGGCTGGCTGACCCTCCTTCCCATTGTTTACGGTGAAGGCATCGTGTTGACGCAAACCTGAGGACTGTGCTTAGTTCCTGCTCACTTTCCTCCCCTCCCTCCCCTGCACTCTGCTCCTCTGTCCTCCTCCCTCCTTAATTAAGTGAAGAAATTCCATAGGCTCGATTGGCTGTGGAGAGGGCAGGAGGATGCGGGGCAGGCAGGAGAGTTGCTAGGAGAAGGGCCTGACTGCTGCAGCAGGAAGAGACAGGTTCTCTCTGTGGCTCCTTGGGAACAGTTACACTGTAATGTGCAAGCTGTGAGAAATTTGCAATCTACTGTTCCAGTTAGGGTTTTTTTTCCGGCTCCCTTGACACCTCCCTCCTGTGACAGTAACAGAGCAGTGTGGATTGTTTTAAAGAAGCTGACGTCGTTGCACTTTTTATTATTTTTAGCATTTACAGATGCACATTGTATCTGTGGATCTCTGCGTGGCCACGCCAGCGCAGGCAGACATCCAGCGGGGAGGATGGTGGGGTGCACGGAAATGCCCTTGGTGGAGTGGGGATGTCCACAACCCTCGTGCCAGTCTGGGGCTCCTGACGCCCACCTTGGGCCGCGCGCTGAGGAAAGCATACTTGAATTTCCAATCACCCTTCCTAGCTGCCAGTGAATGTCCTTGCCATGGTTTCCTACGCCGTGCCTGACCCAGCTGGCCAGAGAGGCGAGGCTGATGCCCGGCATGGGCTGGAGGGAGCAGCATGGCTTTTGCCAGGCCAGAGAAATTTGTGCTGGTCTAAGAGGTAGATCAGGATTGAGGTTCCTGGGAAACAGCCATTTCCTGAAACGTGGGCGTTTCTCAGTGTGGGTAGCCAGGCAGCCTTCCCAAATCCCTCCTTGGGCTGGTTGGGAACCTTCTGCAAGAACATATTAGTGGGAGGAAAGCATCCCCAGCAGGGGAGAGGATACTTCATGCCTTAACACTGATCCCATCTCCCGGTGGTCAGATAGGTTTGACTGGAATCGCCTTCACATCCTCTCTGTGAGCGCGGGGCACCATCCCAGCCCCGCAGCAGCCACGCTTCTCCTGCACCACTTTGAGCCAAACCCATAGCAAGGAAAGGGCTTGGGGTGCTTTGCACACCCAGAAAAACACTGAAATCATGCATCCAACTGCAGTGTTTCCTAGTTTGGAGATGAGGCTGTCCAGGGGTTACTGGAGAGGTGGGAGAACTCAAGCAGCTTTGGGGAGATTATAAGCAGTTTGTTGGACTTTGTCTTTCCATGTATGACACCAGATCAGGCTGGAATAGTTCAGTTGTCATAAACTTGGGCCTGGCTTACCCAAAAATCATGGAGAGCCTGAAGGGAGGAAAGGGAGAGACTAGATCTCATTCTTGTTAATTTGATTTAATGCTAAGCTGTGTAGCCTGGAGTTCACAGAGCAGCATTGCCAGGAGGTTCAGTTTCCCTGGCTGGGTAGGAGCAGGCTTAGAGGGCACAAAATCAGCCTGGGCAGCAAGCTCTGGGCTTGCTCCTGGTGCATTCCTGAGTCAGGCAGACACTGGTGTGGTGCCAGGGTGTTAAAGCCTCCCTCCTGGCCAGGATCCCAGCAGGGCAATCTCTCCTCCATTCTCGGCTGCGTTCTCTCCATGCCTTACCCCAGAGAGCGCGACGGAGGCGCAGAGCCCTGGGTTCACACGTGCACCTCCTTCCTTCCCCCTCAGCAAAGCGCTTTCCTCCAGCCAGGCCGTGGGCTGGGCTGGGAGCAGGGCAGGAAGGGCACGCTCACCTCCCACAGGCAGGTGCCAGGTGTGCCGCAGGGAGGGCACGGCCATGGGCACATCCCACCTTTCCCCCTCCGACTCCTCCGCTGCCAGTGGTTCCCAGAAGCTGCGTGTGTGGCACAGGCATTCCTCTCTCTGCTGTAGGAAACCATGGTTTGGCATCTTGGGAGGGTGTCCAGGGGCAGGGGCGCTCCCCGGGGCGCCGCCCTGCCCGCTGCCCACAGAGCTGGCCCTGAGACACTTCCGTTGCTGCCCTCCCAAGCCCCACTAAGTGCCTGTCACCAGAACTCGATTCCTTCTGCATCTCCTGCCGTGTTTGGTCATTCCTCGCTGCCTCCACTCAAGGAGCAGCTTGTAGTTGCAGCATATGTAAGTGTTTGCAGGGTGAGGGAGGGCAGGGGGGGAAAGGGGCCATCTCAACAGGTTTTGTTCCTAAATGTTTTTGGTTTCTTTTTGTTTCGTTGTTTTTTTGGGGGTTTTTTGGTTTTTGGTTTTTTTTTTTTTTTAAGTGAATGTATTTGATCGTTTAGAAACTTTCCTGACCTTGTTTTTAAGTGGGTTGGTTTGAAAGCTTATTTCATGGTGACCCACTACAGCTTCTCTCCAGAGATACGGTGTTCTTTTAATCCTACAATGATGTGTTTGTAGGGGAGGACTGTCCCCCCACGGCATGCTGGTAATGCTCACTTGTACCAAGCCCTCTTGCACTATAATCGTACGTTGGACTCTTCAAAAAAAAAAAAAAAGGGCAAAGATGTGGGGTGGCTTTTTAACAAAAAGAAAAAAAAATTTAAAAAAAAAAAAAAAGGAAAGAAAAGAAAGCAGGTTACCAGCAAGTCCTGTGCTTGAGGGACCCGCTGTCCCCGGGGAGCTGGGAGGTGACAAGGAGAGCAGCCAGACTGAGCCAGCCATGCTGTGGTAGGATGTAGGGCATTATCCTGGGCAATCCCTCCTCTCCGTGCCGGGAGCAGTTGGCAGCCAGGAGGCCCCAGGCAGGGGAGGGCTCCTGGGGCTCCTGGTGCAGGTGCCTCTGACGCCGCTCTCGGCCCTCCAACGTTGCGATGCAGTCTTCTGAGGTATCAAGTGAGATTATTTTTTTTTTTTTCAATAAAACATTGCACTGCTGCATTGTTCTCCATGAATAGAAGTATTTATTACCTCAGCCTGACCACGGCACTTGTGTTTTGTCTTCCTTTGGCTCTGCTGGGCGCTTGTGTCACCCTCTGTTCCCTTTGGAGGGGACAATGCATGGGTGGGACCATGTGGGACCTTCTCAACTCTTCATGCATTACAGCCATGGGTGGTTCAGCCCTATGGAGCTGGGCCAGGGCATGGTGGTGCTGATGTCCCTTCTCCCTGGGCACACACATTCCCACTTCAGCCATCCGGGAATGCGGGATGCCTTGTCCCACAGGGAAAGGGGTACTGGGACCTGCCCCCTTGGCAAGGCTGTGGGATAAAGACTGAAGGAAAGAGTGAGAGAAGCCATAATTCCTCTTAAATACCTGGAGAGGCCAAGATGGAAGCCCACAGGATTTTCTGTGGTGTTGCAGATGCGATATGTTCAGCTTAGCACCATCACTGATCACTGAAGGTGTCACTGCCCATGGCACGGGTTAGACTTGTAAAACCCAAACCAGTCTGATTGCAAATCCTGCAGGCAGTTAGACATGTGGGAATTAGGTTTTCATCAGGTCTGGGGCACCGTCAGTCCCCACAAAGATAAATCTCCGAGGTGGAGATGTGAGTTCCAAGGGTCAGGGAGGGAACCTTTGAGGCTCATCTCCTGCTCAGAGCACACGTGTCCCCAGACAAATTTTTGGGAGCAATAAATGAAAGATCATGCTAAAAATAATACATTTAAAGCTGGGAATCGGGGGGAAAATCACGAGAGATCAGAGCGTAGAGCAGGTTCCAAGTGTGGGAACACTTTGGCTCAGGTGTCTGAGGGGGTACAGCGCCAGCTGCTCTCAGAGGCGCTTTGGCTCTGGGGTGGCATCTGCAACGCGCCCGCTCA